CCACCTCGGTCTGGCATTGTAAATTGCTTTTGTCTTCACTATAGTTCAGCATTTAATTTACAGTCTAGTCGGATTTTATGGATGTTTCTTTCATAGTTCATGAGCGTTCATCCTCTAGATAGTATGCATTATAGGTGGTGAACTTTTGTATATTATCCTCTTCTGATTGATCACTTACCGAGCTCCCAGTTGGTGAAAAAAACAATTGGTTTCCACCCCTTCCGTGAAGACTTTTGTTCTGTCCTTAGATGAAACTGTTAGAGCACTCGAGTATAGCAAACCAACAACCATAAAACATTTCATTTGAGGTTTTCAATTAATGTTTGTTATCTGTCCTGCATTGTTTATGTTAAGCTCATTTTCACTAGAAATTTCAAAACTTACATGCTTTCTCTCCATCACTCCATCAACAGGCGGAGCAATATTGTGATTTATATTTCAAACAACGAAGTCACGATTGTACCGACGCTGAATCGGAACGGAAGCTAAATGAACTGCATGAGAAATGTCAAAAGACCCAGCAAGATGTACATTTCTCCCTTGCACAGGTACGGCTCAATATTTTTGCACCGCTTTGCTCGTTTATAATTTAAAATTACGGGAAACAACAATTGATTCGGGACGACTTGTTATTTTACAATAGCTTTGAACGTTTTATTAAGATCCCTGCTTTTTTTGAGGGATGCATCCAAAATAATGCAATTTGCATACGTTCAAATAGTACTACTAGTAGATTCACGTCACTCAACGACAAATTCGGCATTTTGACTAGATGCATAGGACATTTTCCGCTTTTTGCGCATAATACAAACGGTTCGTTACATCCGGCAGACAGTCACATTCAAAATAGTCACACTAGGAAGCAGGGATTCGTCAATTACAAAGTTACATAATACCTTGTCCCAGCCCAAAGTCCTATGCTGTCTGATTGAATTTTATTTTAAATGGTCTTCGTGGAACCGAAAAAGCATTTCATAATATATGTCAGCAGCGTAAACGTACATATTTATATATATCCCAACTTCGATTTTCCAAAGCCTGGCCCTAGCATTGGATGGAGTCAAACGTCCAAGGGGCCCATTAGGCCTCGATGCACATTATAGCCGGTGATCACTGTTACAATCAGGAAGGTATGCTTGTGGTTCGTCCGCCTCTTCCTGGTTTGTTTGGAATCAGAGTCATTAAGCAAATCCCTTAGGCAAACTGCCAGTAGCTCGCCGACCCAGTTATGATCCCGGATGTTGGCTTTTCATCCTCTTACCATGGTGAGAAAACATCTCTTCCACGGTTAGGCAATGAGTAGGGCTTCCTTAGCAGAGGTTATTCGAAACGCTAGGCTGTATAGCAGCATTCCGTGAGTTACAAAGTAAGGGCGACTGTCTACAACCCGAGACACCCACCTCTGAATATACTGAGGCTTTCGAAAGCGAGATGCTCCAATAATAGTGGGATTGCGGAGACTTTTCCAGCCTGGATTTTAAAGCATGCATTGATGTTGTTTGCATACGGTCTAAGGAAACGCAACTGATCAAGTTTAACAGATAAATAAAACGCATTTTCCTCAATGAATCTGGAAAGAGAGACCAGTGTAGCGATTTGGTTTGATTTATGAATGTCTTTATCAGAAAAGATCAGACGAGGCGGTTAAGAATTGGACAAATGGATACAGTGTCACATCAATCCTTTGCTGACTAGCTAGACCCGGTAGCATCGATTGGAATCCAAATCACACTTAACATAAACGCCCTAACCAGGTCAACTGAGCGGCTTTTGAAGTTTGAGTTCGTTTCACATAATAACTTCACGCAGGCACTTGAACTTCTACAACCGTCATTTGATTACGTCACCTGTTAAGAGGTCGCCAGGTCAGATAATCGGCACATACTGAACATTCATCTATGTGTAGTATAAACAACTCCCGTCCTTCGTCCTAGCAGACTGAAGAAACAGCAAACCAATCGTGGAAAACAAATTCCAATGTGTCACGTGTTCTCAAAGCCAAAAAGTTATTGATTGCTTCAGCTGACTAGGTTCTGATGAATAGAACTTTTGTAAAATATATTACCGCTTCTCTTGTTATAAGATACAAGCCAGTTATTTTGTCATATTCGTGACCACAAATAAAATCATGAATGTGAAAACTTCCGAGGCTGAACCACGGCGAACAACCCTTTGGTTATAATAGACATGTCATAATATTAAAAATAATAACTTGTTCACACTTGATCTCTTATTGTTTCTCACTTTCTCAATCCGTTTCTCATTAACCTTGTCCTGTTTTCTTCTCCCCAAAAAGGCTTCCAAAATTGCCCACATGCAGTTAGAAGTGGAAAAACCGTCCTGGACTGTGGTTTCACCCAGAGTTGCTGAAATGGTAAGTGCACACATCGTTGTATATACTGTAGGGTGTTAAAGCTAATTGTAATTGAGAGACTTGATATAGCTGATTAAGTCAAACGAAGGGGGCACTGAATCACTCATTTTGTATCAGCTTGCTTCAATCTGTAACAATGAATTGACTGAAGTGCCTCTGCATCTAGGCACCGTTAGACATTCTTCATTGTTTTTCAGGAGGTATCGAACATTTTAAAATGAAAACGTCATCGCATATGACATGAAGAATAAAGGTGCAAGATGAGCTAAATGATGACTAAGAAAGAACGTTTAGTACAGTTGCGCAACTACAAAATGTATCTCCAACAGTAAATATGTTTGTGGTTATTCCTATCTGCGAATAAGCAAGAAAAAACCTATCGGTATTATGGAAATTTCCAGTTAGACTATAATCGCGATTCCAAGGTGGTTCTGAGAGAGTGTGTACCGTTTGACGTCTGACTAATTTACCATGCTGAGTCACAAGTAGATCAAGCTTTGGATCTCGAAAATTATTGATATTTTCGTATGATCTTTTTTCAACCACAGAGGTTGTAGCATCATTCACGAAACTACAACGCGGAAAATGTCCCACCCTCGCGAACGCTAGACTTAATCAAATTTATCTGCCTCATCCTGGATCCCAAACAGAGGTCAAACGCAATCCAGGTTGGACTCAGCAAGCATCGATTATAGAAATATCAGGTCGATATTTAATTGCGACCCCAGTGGAAAGGAATGTTCCGTAAATTCCACTGGCTGTTTCCCGTTCCAATATACCCAAGTGACCCAACTATGTCAAACCCCCCACACCTTCACAATCTTCAGCCGAAAAGATGTAAACAACGAGAACGCTCTGCTCAATTTTATTCTCCCTAGATAAACTACCAGCTTTTAGCTTGCCCGACTTTGGTTCCATGATTGTGGCGTGTGTACACGTTTATAGCCCATCTCACTGTCTTTGTTTTTCTGTCTGGTCATTCCAACTGTGCTATCCTACGAAGCACACAAGGAGACAGGATGAAATTTATTCTGGGTAAATTGTACCAAGCGATATCCACACAAAGAAAAATGCCATTTGATTTTATTCAGAACCTAGTTCCCAAATGCCGTTGTCAATAACAAAACCGCCCCTCGTTTGTACGCAGTGTGAGTAGGTTGCAGTCAGTCTATTTGTCTGGTCCAAGATAACCTGCTTACCTCCTCCTGCTCTCAAAATTCCGTGTTCGATCCCAATACAAAATGAGAAAATGACTGGAACAACGATATGAAACAGTTAAATGTGCAAAATGTTTCTGGTTTGCACAAATAGTAACCTTGCGGCCGTTTATATCATTTTGTTAATAAGCAGTATAGGATAGGCACCTTTACGTTTACCAAATCGTAGGCATTCCCTGACAAGGTTGGCTTTCTTATTATCAACAATAGGTGAGTTGAAACCATGGATCCTGGGAGATGCTAAAATGATGCTCGATACAGGTTGGTTGATAAGAGCATCCGTCCCCGATTGATTATCTCTTCTGAAGAGAATTGAGCCACTCCGAATCAAGGCCAAACAAAATAGCGAACAAGCTCGTTTTTGTAACTTCGTCTTCAGGACCATACAGTTATGTGTGTGTTCATATCTAATGTAGAAATAAATGTGATTGGTCCATAGAGGTTAAGTATGAAAATACAACAATGTCTATAAGAACAGGTGGGGAGAGGAGACAAATATCTGCGAAGGAAATCAGAGTTTAAGGAGAGATGATGGACACAGACACGCTCACGAACATCAATTATCACAAGCCCATCATTTCACCTTAAACTCTGATTTCCTTTGCAGGTAAATATCTATAAAGTTTAATCAGAGCGAGTGGATAAAATGGGGACAGTGGGCGAAGGGGGGGACAAAGGTCAATTTTGTAACTTTCGGTGACCTTTGTCACGTGCAATTTGTCACGCCATGTTGCGTCATCACGACATGACTGAGGCCATAGTTCGGGTCATCACGTAGATTTGGTTGAAGCGGCAACCGTCTTCTGTTTGCACACTGGTGGGTTCATGATTTTGAGTGCTACAGTTTCAGCCTTTGCCAAGTGACGTTTCCAAACGTGCCTCAATTTGTTTTGGGGCACTTCGTAGATGACTGACCCTTTGGGAGAATCGCCTCATCGTTCCAATCAATACGTTTTTCATGCAGGTCGGAGTTTCCCTTGCTTGGCCAACTGTTATACACCTAAGGGTCACCCGAGTATTGAGCGTAAAACTTCATTCTGAGGCCCTGAAAGTGTTTGGATCACCTGATGTGCACGAAGATGCTCACGGATTGATGCTTAAAACGAGCCACGTTTATTTGTTTTATCTTCTGACGGTGCAATATCAGCACTATTTACCAGAAAAACTATTTGCTTATCTATGCCAACATATGCACTTTACGGTGAAACCACATATCCACATAAGTGAAACATCTCGTTTTAGTTCGTGCATGCAGTACTACTTGCATTAAACCTTTTTTCTCACTTAAACTACTTCGCACAAAAGGGCTCACGTGATCTGCTGCATCCTTGATGCGAGAACGTATTGGGCTCATACAAACTGTTTCCCCTCCGTTTCAGCTGCAAATCACTGTCAAACCACGAACGACCTTACCCGTAAACGTCTGGGAGAAAATGAACTGCGCTCAACTACAACTAGTCGTAGAGGAACTCCACAACGAGATTCAAAGTGAGTTGGCTCACAGTCGAGGGGATTATACTGGCGGCTTTGACATAAAATTAATGCCCCCCTACATGAGAGTGTAAATTTTTGCTTTATACGTGAAATTATTAAAACGTATTAATTTAGACGTAGTAAATTTGTTCAACCGAGCCATTTGAGCCACCAGAGACACTTCCATCAGCGAGATAGTAACATGCATTATAGATCAGTCGGACATCAGTATCAGGGTGCAATCACTCTACCCCCATTCGAATACTGCTGACACAGTTATCTTACACATGACTAAGGTGCCAATCGATTTTCTTGGCGCAAAGGATATTCCAAACCTCAAAATTCTGATATGGGCTTAAAGAGTTGATGAGTTTATTAAACGCACTGACACCCTTAAACCTCACTGACTAATAAAAAATTTTGTTAATATGAGCGATTACGACAAAGCATCCTGGGTATCACATTAGCATAAAACCTGCATGAATACGGGGCCCATGCTAGTTGGAGTGCGTTGCTGTCCCTATAAACAACTGTTGTTATTTGAGTGTGCTGACTTGAGCGACAGACGTTTTTGAATATCAATATGTTTGCCAAAATCCGACATGAAACCTATTCTGTTTGTGTTTTCTTCGCACAAGCAGTCTACAGTAGCTAACAAATCACACAAAGCAAATCTATTCACGCCACTTCTACCATATCCAGTGTGGTTGAAATATCGGCTGTACATCACACGTTGTTCCAAGCTGTTTCTCTATATCGACTACTATTGAATTGCCCTTGTCAGATCTAAACAACAATTTGATGGACTCCTTGATGGAGCGGGATGATCTACATCTGGAACACGGAGCTAAGATGATCGAACTGGATGATTTATTAGCGTAAGTTCCAAAACCGTAAATGTACACATGCATCTACCCTGTTGCGATCATTTCCCAAGTCTGATTCACCTATCTTATTGAATCTCATCTAAAGTTATTTGCATTATTTTTTATACGAAAGGAATGCCAGAACCATTGCTCAACGGTTCGATGATTGATTAGTTATATCAAAGTAATCGTTGCAAGCTCACTTGGGCACGTCAAACTAGTACCTGAATGGAAAACCTGATTTGATGGCAAGCTTTCGAATTGGATTGACACTAATTTTAGTATCTCTCTTCCGCCGTGGAAATGAACTGGATAACTAATGCTAAAAATAACATTCAGGTGAACGGTACTTCTGGTTAGCTCCGTTCTTAGCTGGTTTGCACTTTTTAACACTAAACTCCTTCCATGCGACATGTCCGGAGTTCAATCCACTGACGGGTCGACGAATGCTCAATAATAACAAGCTCTAGAAAGAGTAAAGCTCTGAGATGAACTTAGGCGACGGTTGCCCGGATAACCTGCAAATCGTCCCTGAAATAGAGTTGTAAAACTGGTCAGTAAAATAGGCATCATATGACCGACATCACTGCTCACAGAAGTAATTATAAAATGAGTATTATTATTGATTCTGACCGACCATTCTTTAGAACTCATTACGATACCCGATACTCAATTTATTTAACCAAGTAAACACTCGGGAAGCACCAGACTCTAGTTTGTGTACTGATCGCGCTCACCACCTTCCCATCCAGGGTTTGAATATCAGATCCCTGGAATTCAAAACGTGCAAACCAGCTCAGATTGAGGCTGACCAAATTCAGCGAACTAAGTTTGATCATATCTGGATTTCAGTTAGACAGACGTGTTCCAAGCAAAAACGCCTTGAATGTGCAACTTGCCCCTAAATCTCCACAACGCTTGCCCATGGTAAATCTGAGTAGGTTTGATATAACTATAGGCAGGGAAAATCGCTCTGCCCGAAACTCTTTCCAGACACTTACTTATCCAATGAAGGAGGAAGCCTGTGGTTTTCATTGATCTATGGCAGGATTTTATCAACTCAGCTAGATCATTAGACAGAGAAGCAATGAAAATTGTGGTTTTGCGAAACTTAAACAAGAATTGTGAATTCAACTAACTGTAAGTCAGTAGGAAAAAAACATTATGAATCAGGGATTTGGTAACGTTTATGATCATATTTTGGCTACACAGATGTACAATGCCGGCAAAATTTGGGATTTTCGTTTTTAAAAATGCCACCGTTTCTAAATTGTTTGGAGATATTCTGCATTTTGCTAAGGGTAACTTTGTCTGTGACCAAGGAATTGGAGTCTCCGAGCGGATCCCGGGTCCGTACACTAATTATTAGATGCCTTAGGATGATGATGTCGTTTACAATAAGTGCTGAACCATCAAAAATTCATTTATTTCGGTGGTTGAGTTCGTAAATATATTTCAAACGGGGACAGATAAACAACTGGTAATTTTACTAGAAGATTTTTCTTGCATAATGTCTCTACGTGTTTCAAGTGAAGGTCTTTCCCATCCAAAAGTGCTAGTTTTGTTATATTCAACTAATTCGAATCAAGGAATGACTTGCTTTTATCATACATCTTTCTTAAATACCCGGATTTGGCGATCGCCCAGTTACAGTCAGGTTCGAAAAAAGGTACAAACTCTTTTTAACGCTGTATGACAAATTGTGAAACATAAGATTTTCTATGCAATCACGCATCGAAAAGAACTGTAGGATCATTACTTTTAGGCACTGTTCCCTGTGCACTCTGTGATTAGAATAGTTAACATCTCCCAGCAGACTCTCATCGACTAGCATCGGTTTACAGGGAAAGAGCATGATCGCATGATATGCGCTTTACAAACACACCTAAACCCAGTGTAAAATCGTGTAGACAAATAGGTTAGCCTATATATTCCCCAAAAGGAATCTTCAATTTCCCGAGTATGAGATGCAAATGCATTCATTCTGAATCCAGTGACATCTATGGGGTCTTGTGTTCGCTGAGCCTGGCGTTTAGATCGCAAATGTTTCATCACCAGCCGAGGTGACATCGTCAGTGCGTAGGTAATGTTCCCTGCACTTGTCTTTATTTATAGTATTCCTACCTTAGGTTTGACCTTGTGCATGCACAACAGAACCTTCAAATGTATTCTCAAGTACGAAAATTTCAAGCTGTTAACAAGGTTTGGTACAACTGCTACTAAATTTAGTAACTCTGACAGGTCAAGGTCACAGTCAGAGGTCAATTTACTAAATCTAGTAACCTTAGTGCGCAAAAGTCATCTCTATAGCAACCACCAAAGGTCAAGTTACCAAATTTAGTACCGTCTTTAAGGTCAACAGCGAGAACAATTCTCAAGGTCAAACCTAGGGTAGGAATACTAGAAATAAAGACAAGTGCAGGGATCATTACCTACGCACTGACGATGTCACCTCGGCTGGTGATGAAACGTTTGCGGTCTAAACGCCAAACTCAGCGAACACAAGATCCCACAAACCATCAACCTGAGCTACAAATCAAACCCATATTCAAATCTGGTGACTCAAATTTGATTTTGAGTTCTGTTTCCCAAGCAAAACCGTATTCGTTAGTCAGATAATTTGGAGTATTTGCTTTGAATAGAACCAATGTACACAACGCGTACCGATTCCAGCACTGAAGTATTATGATTATGAGTATTATGATAAAGAAAGTTCTCAGAAACGCAAAACTTGGCTGTGGTCTTTGGAAGCAATCAGGATGTCACACGAGTCATTCACTGAGATTCAACATTGCAGTGATATATTTTGTTCATCTTGAACAAAATCTACCAGACTAAATTTTAAATGTGGGTCCATATTGTCATTGTGTCGACTGCACTTTTGTTACTTTTTATGTAAAAACTAATTGAGGTTCCACGGATACCAGAGTATGTATTTAGCGAACACAAGCTACAAACCACACCCATATTAAAATCTGTTGAAAACCAGTGATATCTATCTTTCTTCCGGTACGCTAGTCCAAACGAAGAATGGCCACTTTCTCAGTTTGTACAACACACAATGACTAATAAAAGCAGTCACATGTGACCGATTAGGAGAGCTGCAAGCAAATCGGGAGCGTCTTCATTTCGCTGATAAGAGGTAGATCTCTCTGAAGGTTGATCACAAATTTACGGGTATTGTTTCAATTTAGGAATAGTCTTAGATAATCAGTCAATACGTGTGAGTATATATTAGAGTTTCCGCCTGGAAGTTGATCTCCTTGTAATAAGAGCCAGCAATGTTTGTCGATAGCTCGGTGATGCGTACGGATATGACATGTTGCAATGAGATATTGTAGTCATCACCCTACTGAGTAACTGGAATTTAAAAGACCTACATAAACATTCTCAGTCAAAATGTGGAGGGATACATGGAGTCATCAATGAAGCCAATTTACCCTCTATAAGTATAAATGGAAATGGAAGCATTTATTTATTTATAACTGAAGCACGTTAAGCGTCTGGTTAAGCTGAAACTGAAAGAGACCAATCGATGCTTTCAGTTAGCTGTAATCTTACTTACGGAATCAACATTAGAAATTCGGTGGCAAGATCACTGCAAATACTACAAACTCAAGAATCAAGGAAAAACGAGGAAAAAGTAAACACATAAAAATATGCCCATAGTCTTAAAAATAAATCAGGCGTCACCAAAAATGCAGATTCTTTTCTAATTTATCATGCTATTTCTTTTTACTTTATGTATTTAGTTACCTCAAGGAGCTATGCATTCGAGTCTCCATTCGCCAGTATCGTAGACAGTTATCTACTAGTCATCTGGAGCACAATTTTGTGTCCCAAACCAAACTAGCCCCTACAAGAAATTCCGTGCCGAACCGACCGAATTCACGTTCCTCACGACCCAGCTCCGGCCAATTCTGGACGTCCCAACCCTGTGCTCGTTTGACCCTCAAACAGCGTCTGGTCAGTGCATTCTCGCGACAGAACTCAACCACCTGTTGAGTGGATTATTGTCTGCCCCCCTCCCCCTATCTGTAACTTCTACTTCTCAACTGACCTAGCTCAACGAGATTAACCACCGGGTAGGTGGTAATCTTGTTCCTCGAAATCCATACCTGCTGCTACTTAGCTCTCAGCAGCTCTTTGGCTCTCTGTTGCACAGAAATTCACAATTACCAAGTGAGAAAAGGGTCCACTGCAACCGAATGCGGATGACAGTAGGGAGGAGGAGGAAGAGTAGAGGCGAATCAACCCAACATATGTGTCCAGTGTGCATTTTACTACTACCACTACAACTCATTTACGCAACAGTACTATCATCATAACTGATCATAAATTTCATTGTAATAGTGTCTCTGTTCTGTTTTGTTCTTTTCTCTTTCTTCTTCTGATCCGCCATCATCTTTCATTGTGCTGCTCCAATTGTCAGATCTCAGTCATGTGTATACTCGGGCTTCAGACGCTTTCCATTATTGTATTCTCTAGGCTATTGTACAATCGTATTCATCGTAAACGACTGCTTAGAGTGACGCATACTGTCAAGACAACACTGTCTTTAGTATCGAGCGTACACACACACACAATTTGTTCTCAGCTCTACAGTGCGGGTGCCCACTTCTATGGTCAACGAAACTTCCCGGTCTCACATCTTCCGGCTTCCGGTTGGCAGTTTGACGAGAACTGCAATCCAAATTTCTATCGCTTCCTGTCCAAAACACAACCACCCTCCCCCAAAACGTAAAATACCTGTCTTGCGATACTGTGATGTCGGTATCGGCCGAGCCGAAATGATGTGGTTTAACTTGAGAAAAATACTAATATTGCTATTAATGCGACTCGCGTTTTGTGTTTTGTTTGGTCCCTGGAGTTTTGCACCTCGAGCTACATCAGTGATACCTATTGTTGACGAAATGTACTCGCCAGTATTCAGTACAAGTTTGTTTACAAAATTCGTTGTCAGAATACCAAACAAACATCTGGGATTCACCAAGTTGAGTGAACTTACTGTGAATCAAAACCACGAGACTATGGAACATAGAGTGCTTGACTCGGTTAAATCATACTAGCACATTTGCCATTTAATCTGAGGCATCCACCTGAATAGAGGTATTCAGTAATGAAGGTGCGGGGAACGATGGAAATTTTCATGTTTTGTGCTTTCAGCCTTCACATTTTTTACTCCGAAAATATGACCCCAAGTGAATGGCGATAACACTCTTTTCTATCGCTCGGCAGACGATGTGAACTAGGATTAAGGTGGCTCAAGACACCTGAAAGCGAGATATCTTTCTCATTTCTGGTAGTTTTCAATCGGTTTCGCGAAAGTTTGATCTGCCCAGGTGCTATATTCGATCAGAAATGTACGGCATTAAACTTTTTCCCTAATATAGGTAAACCTGGCTATTGTTGCCACCCCTCCGTGTCTATCAAATTGCAACATTAGGTGATGTGGCACTTTAACTGAGTTTTTACATCCAGTTTTACCTTTAGGCAGACTTAAATGCCTGATAGGTTTTGTCTTCTCCAGCATCTTCTCTAGGTAGTGAATCCAATCTTACTTTATTCATAGATGTTGTCTTCTCACACAGTACGCGACTGAAAAAGTCGAGCCTGTTTTTGAAGCGATGTTTGGCCACCTGCTGAAAGCTTTGAAACTGGTTTGATGCGATTGTGCTCAGTCGACCCTTTTCTGTATAATTCCATCACATATGGCGATGTGTACTGCCACGGATCAACGCCAGGTCCTGTAGGGTGTGTTTACTTTTCGGTCAGACGAAATTCTTTGACTGCAGTTTGAGTTTTCTGTCTCTATAATCATGCTGTCGCGATTCCTACGTTTAGAAATATGAATCTTCTTCTTATTTGTGGGAAGAGGTCACAGCTCCCATGACTTTGTTCAATCAAGCGGGTTTTATAATAGGATTTATGTTACGGATACCGATAGTATACTAGATGAGACAAATCCCGATTCTGCCGATCGAGCTACCCAAATCAAATATAAACGTAAACCACCAATTCGATTTGGTGCACATAGATGGCATAAACTATTGACAAGATAGGTTCTGGTATCTATGGCGTCCGCAAGACACGCTGCAAAGAGCTTTCTTTCGGGTTTTGAATCAACTGGTTAACGCGGCTAACCAAAGACACTCAATGCACCGGTCGGAGACACTTTGGAGATCAGATTTTTCTTGGAAGGTGGATTTCCAAGCAATCTGTAGAACGAGAAATACAAAAATAATTCTACAAAAGTTCTACTGAGACGAGCTTACGACTAACACTCAATCCAAAAAGAGAAGCTACGTGTTCAATGTGCCTGGTGGTTGATTTGTGTATAAAAATCCATGCGAGGGAACTTTCTCATTTCAATCAGGGCCATAACCATATAATTCAGTCTAAGCATGAGATCAACTGTACTGCATTGAAAAGAAATATCCGGCATAGATTCAACTGAGATTCCGCAATCGCATGGAACACAGTCGATTGAGGAGATTAGAAGAAGGAATAAAGAATCCCCCTCTAACTAAACTCATCATCTCCAATTAGGTTTTTCTGACTCATTATGAAACATTGTTTGCTACAATCCCCCATGGGTGAGCAATTGTATATTATCTTGTTATCTCGTTGTTATTGTGCAAAAATAATTTGCATTAAGACCCGGGTGACCGGTTTCGAATATCACATACATAGAAGCACCTCGCAATGTGATTCCTCACAACGAGTTGGTTAGGAAACTCGCGTCTTTTTCTATTGCAAACTAATATTCAAATATTCGTTACCACCGGACAGTGCAAAACTTTACATTGATCATAGGTATGTCTTTCATCACACGAATTGGACCAAAGATAGAACGCTACGAATAAACAACTTGAATAAAAACACGTTAGCAACTCAGCTTCTAAAAAGGAATATTCTGTATCAATACGATCATATCACTTGAAGTTTGTCTGATTGAAAGTGAACCGAGACAATTTTTCTTTCGAACCCATAGGCGAATGTATACTGATGCGGTTGTTGCATACACACTCAAACAAATTTGTGCTATAGACACACGGGGACAGGACACAATACTGCAATGTTGAAATTTTTCTTTGCTCTCGTTTAAACGAATTAATTGTGCATGTAGTTGTAAACGAATCAGAAAACGATTGTGTGAATTATACACATTCGGCTTGGTGTGAAACGTACGAGGTAGTTGTTAGAACAAATCACAAAGTATTCCCGTTGAAACATGAGAAAAATTCGAAACACGAAGAAATTTCTTTTAGATTGATTGCTTCAGGTTTTCACATATGCAATCGTATTTCTCAGTACCCTACTGAATGACCTCGGCCTATTTTTGGTGATTATTTGTGTGCAAAATGTACCGTTGACAGCAATCCATAAGATCAGAAGAAATAGTTATGGAAAAGCAGAGTTAAAAACGTGTGAACTGTTGCTGTACGATGAGATGTGCTTCGGTCGAGAATGAACAAAATGTCAGTAAATCAGAGGGGTAAAAAACGGGACGGTTTTGTACAGCTTGATATGAGACAGTCAGTGTTATGGCCAACAGCGCCTGAGACAGATTTACGCTGCATGCACAACTCCGGTTGCATAACTGCTATCATTTCCGTAATTTTCCGGTCTTCATAGGCAGTCGCTCGATGTGATTCTTAATTGATGTGAAGAACAGATCACTGAAATCGCTTCACAATGTTGCCCACTCATTAGTAGTGTAAATCGGTGTAAATCGGTAATCTAATCAACTGCCCAGTTTCGAATAAACTGAGCAGCAAGTGAATGAGTGTTGGAACAATGTAATCCTGTATCAGTGGCCAAGGCAGCACACCATTCATCGATCTTCGTTGAAAACCACCTGAAACATGATTCCGGATCAATTGCAAGTGCGATTCACATTTATTGGACAGACAATGATAATCCATTTAACCGAAATGAAGTATTCAAGACTATGTATCAGGTTCTCCCGAACAAGACTAAATATATTGGAATGTGTAAAATAGCTGGAATATGTGACCCGATACACTTTATCAAGCTCTTCATCTACCTGGTACATCACCTACCTCTCACCCATGCATACACACACAATAACTCGGTGTGGTCCCAGAATCCTTAGGTCTTATATTCACATATAGATTTTTGAGAGTTCAGTACGATTTACTTATAACAATCGTACGCCTGAAATGTTTATAAAACCATATTTATCTTTAAAATCAAATCTTTTTACCAATCTATACCCGCTGCCGTTCACTAGGCGTTGTTCTAACTTAGTTGTTTTAGTGATCACCCAGCATTTTGTACCTAGATTTGCGCTGCTCCTTCACGGTGAATTATCTCCTTTCTTTGACTGTCTGCTAAACTCAGATACTGTCTCCTCCTCTCGTTACTAGTGTTTCTCTTTGAGAATATAGAGTGATTCTCTCTGTGCAATTGATTGTGATTCGATTATAACAGTGGTTTGCTTGATCTGATTGTGATCGGGTCTCCACCTCACTCCACCCCCGCCACATGGGTTACACTAATCGATGTGGCTCTGACGCTTCTTCACTTTTTGTGTGCTCGCATGACTGAATGTTGAACTGTCACGTTTCTACGTTTGACTCCCATTTGACAAAGTTCGTTTCTCGTGGGAAACGCCATGATTTTACATGTGCTCCTTTTGCAATTTTAATCCCTAAATTAGCACCAATATGTTAAGTCGAATCAGAACATTTAGACTTTGGCTTTTGTGGCTGCACCTAAAGTCGACTGTGATACCAATTTAACAAGGATAATAAAAATTTCCTTCTTTCTACAATGCAGAGTCGGCTTCCTGACGCGGAGCTTGTCAATTGTAATGCAAACGTTTCATCAGCAAACGAGTTGGCACTCTGAATGTAGTAGCTGCAGTTGCTGTTCAGGGAACAGCTGAAAATCAAGTTTTACTACCCGAGCTACCGAAAGAGGGGTGCATTTTGTTGGGGAATTCTCAAAAGGAGACGTGTACCAGCCAAAGTCAGGCC